TGTAGGTGGAATGGAATTGCCGAAAGGAATTTGGTGATCAAGTGATGCTTCTCGAGATACCGTAGGCGATGCTTTACTATCTTTTCCATTAGCTTACACATTGTGTTCATCAATGAAATTGGTCGGTAATTATCGGGATCCGTGGGAATTTTATCTGGTTTTAAGATAGGAACTATTGTTGCTTTGTTTTATATTTCTAGAAAGACATTGTGATTCCATATGCAGTTAAATATTGAGAGTTGGTAGTTTACGTTAGCGTTTTGTGGCAGTTTGATAAGGAGAAGATTTGGCTGTCGTCGAATGCCGTCGAGTCCAGGGCTGGTATTACCACATCTACTTAAGGCGTACATTAATTCTTGAGCGGAGATAGGTTCGTTAAGAGACGTTATTGACTGTAGGTCATTATCAGCATTTGGCAATAATGGTGGTTTGACCTCGGTTTCTAGTTTGTACTTCTGGAATTCTTTTGAATGGTTGTTGTTGCTAGAGGTTTGCTAAAATGTGAATGCTAGTATTTCTGAAATCTTCGCTGGATCTGTGGTGGGGGGCACTGTCTTCTTCTTTTAGGGCAGAAATTGTGTGGTATGTTTTGTTTCCTTTGATTGACCTGATCTTTTTCCATACTTCTGCGATTGGAGTGGATGGGTTAAGGGATGAAACCTTAACCATGACTGTTTCCAGCTGCCTTTAATGATTTTCCGGGACAATGCTCTGTACTTTTTGAAGTTAATGAGGTTTTCTTGAGAGTTATGTTTTTTGTATCGATTGTAGGCGTGCTTATAGTTTTTGACCTTCAGAACACTGTTCATTCCACCATGGAGTGAGTTTGGATTTTGAGTTGCTTGAGGTAGTTTTGATTTTGGGAATGGCTAAGTCACTGGCTTCTGTAATGATGCGTATGAAATTGACGAGGGCGGTGTTTATTGAAGCCGGTTGGATCGGGTTTTGTTCAGTATAATGGGAGATGGAAAATGCTACAAACTCGCGGTAAGTTGTCCAATCGGCTTTTTCAAATTTCCACTTAGAGGTTTGTAGGTGTTATGGCAGTGGTATGTTATCTTGATCGGGAAGTGGTCACTATCAAATAGATTACTTTCCACATTCCAAGAGATGATGATTTTGAGCGATTCTCGGGTTGCAAAGAATTAGGTCAATTGCACTAAGGCGGGCGGATGCGGTCGTGAAGTGGGTTGGTTTGTTGGTGTTTAGAAGGTTTAGATTTTTTTTCGTTTATTAGTTTCACTATGATAGCTCCTCTTGTGTCTATTTTGTGGGATCTCCATGAAATATTATGGCTATTGAAGTCTCCCGTGATGATGAATGGTTTTGGTAATTGGCTAAAAATTCGGGTAAGTTCAACTTCATCAAGATGTTGGCTGTTAGGCAGGTAGATATTACATATTACATATGTAGGTTTGTAGGTAGCATAACTCTTGTGGCCACAACTTAAAGGTTGAATGTGATCGCAATCTCTTGGATGTAGATGGTGTCCTTGATGTAAATAGCTACTTTACCTTAAATAGCGTGGTCAGCGGAACGATTTTTGATGAAAGCTTTGTAGTTTTTGAGTTTGCCCGAGCTTAATCCTTTAAAGTTCGTTTCCTGTAAACAAATGATTTCCGGTTGCTCCTTATCTATCAGTGATTGTAAGTATTCCAATCGGCTATAGAATCCGTTTAGATTCCACTGAATAATTTTAATTGGTATATTTTGAGTTTTAATTGATGATTGGAGAGATTTTATGGAGAATCGTTTTCGGTGTCCGAGAACCAATTCGGGGAATGAACGGTAGTTGAAGAGTCGTTTTTTGCAGCTATAGTGGTTTGTCGGTCTTGTGTTAGTGTTTTAACTAGTCGTCGTATTCTGTTTTTGGCTGTGCTTTGAGTAAGAAGTGGATTATTTCGATCATGTGGAGTAGAGCCTTAGTATCTTGAGTGTAGTCTTTGATAATGTCGATCGGGTTGTCTGTATTGCGCGCGTTTTCTAAAAGACACTTGACTTGGCAGTAATTAAAGATAAAGTTATTTTTTGTGTCATCAAGGGTTGGCTTAACCGGTTTTAGCATTTCATCGAGTTTTTCGATGAACCTGGTTAACGATTGGCTACACTTAGGACGTTTTATGATGGTGTTAGGCGTTGATTCCTTGATATTGCCAGTGGGGATGGTCATTTGGGATAAAGAATATTTGTTTCCGTCTTCTGAGCAGCAATCTGTAGACACAGAGAGTGGTCTTTTGTAGTTACGGGGTTCGAAGTCGGTTAAATCGTCTGTTTCAGTTAGGGTTTTTCGATGATTGTTGGAGGTTTCGATTTCAGTTATGTTTGAAATATTGGGGGGGGTTTGCTGTATTTGTGTATTCGTGCGTTCTGTCTTGTGTCTGTTTGTTTTTAGGTTCCGTTGTTTTTACTTGGTTTATTGCTGTGGGTTGGAGTGGATTACTGCAATCTTTGGCGACATGGCCTTTTTGTTTGCATAGAAAGCAGTTGGGTTTATCCGTAGACGCGAAGATTCTGTACTGTGTATCATCGTGATTTATTAAAAAGGATTGGGGAATTTTTGGGAGGTCGTCTGGGTTGATGAAGACCTTTCTTCTAAAACTCAGTAAATATGAGTAAAGCCTGTTTCCTGTATACCTGCTCGAAGGAACGTTAGTTTGGATATCATTCGAATGTTGATGTTTATGAGGTATTTTTCTATGTATTCGTGTGGTATAGACGGTGAGACATATTAATCTCTGGGATGGATTGATTAGCGGTCTGACTGTAGTATGTACGTTATTGATGGTTATTGTTCTGTGGTTAGTTACGAAGTCTTGTGCTGTAGTCTTTCTGTCGAGATAGATGCAGAAACGACCATTGGAGATTCGAGAAGCGAAACGGATAGCTTCGGGGCCAGTGACTTTTGCGACCGCGAGTATGTAGTCTTTCATTGTTGTGTTGTCAATAGCGTCGATTAGGATTGCTTGTTCTTTAGTTGGAAAAGAATTAATCATTGTAACAATAGCATAGGATTTTGCTTGTGTAGTTGAAACATTTGATGGGTTTATGATAGGTTGATTGTTGGTATCTGTGTGTAGGCCTCTATGTGTACAGGTCGTTGTTGGTGCATACTTTCTGACTCATGGTGTGTCAGAGATGGGGATTCTACCTATACTATGACGCACACTATCACAGCACTTTATTTATTGAAATTTTTATTTTCTATATTTTGTATGCAATACTTTTGTAATAAAAGATATTCTATTTTCAATAATAATCTCAATCAAATATATATAGAACATATGTTATGTATATCAAAATAAAATAATTACTAATCATTTATTATAGAAAATGTTAAGAAGTATAGAAAAGTATATTTTTTATATATTTAATTTCTAGTGCATACATTTTTTACTTTGTAAGAAGTATGTATGTTACTTTGAATTGCGCTGTTTTTTTAATTAACAAAATGATATAATTCTGTTTTCTCCCAAATCAGTTTTACGCTTCTCCTGAAAAATATATTTTTTCAAATTGTGTTCATTTTTTCGCAAGAGTGTGATATGTTACTCTCTGTATTGCAAAATCAAATTTCTTGATTTAAAATAAAAAATTGGAACAGTCTTTATATTGTAAAATTAAATCTCTTAATTGAAAAAAGTAAGATTGAGCATAATATTAAGCATATTAAAATAAATATATTAATATCAATATAAGATTTTGCATCTTCTCAACGGCAGATTCTTAAATTAGTCAAGAGTTCCGTTAATCTCGATTTCGCTAACCTAAATAACTTTACCAATTGAACAACTTAAACTATTACACATGTTGCTGAAAGTTGAGGGTGGCGTCGAGATTGATGGCGAACACCACGTGCGTCAGCATAATTTTATTTGAACTAGTGGTGCACACCTTCAATCGTTCACCACCGCACCGAAGTTTCGTTTATAATTGATCATGTGCGGTCTCATACAGATCGTACGCTTGACAACATATCCAGAACATGGCATCACGAATTGTAAACGCTTGAATCAGTACGGCGAAATACATAATTACGGATATTACCTGATCGCTTGAAATGTATTTATTTAAATGCGTTGAAACTGTTTAACGAATTTGCGAAATTAGAAACTGCGTCGCGGTGACCCTCTTGGTTTCTCAGCAAAATCATTTACGTAATATACCGAGATATGATTTTATTAGGGGTTTTCATTACTCTGTTGTTGTGCAAATTTTAATTTTAATTTTTAACTTATTAAATGTGTTATTTTAATTTTTAACTTGTTAAATGACAACGGAGTGTACTTATTATTCGATAAAAGACATTTTTGTCATTTACATTAAAATTTTATATAGTGAAAACTTTTATATAGTGAATTTAAAATATTTTCGAATATTTTGAAACCAAAAGAAAAAAGAAGAATAAAAATTTGACAAATATACTCGATAAAAAATTGGTGATCTTTTGTATTATGACGGGTTTACAAAGTGTAATTTTATCTAGAATATTTATTAATTTGTTGTTCTATAATTTTTTCATGCGGTAGATTAACTATGAGACATTTTTTATGTTGCGACGAGTATATTTTTTATATTATGCGATAGAAAACATTATTTGCATTTCTATATCTCTGAGCTAGACTGTACATTTTTAAAATAGAGCTATATAATACAATTATAAAAACAGTGCTTAAATAAAAAATAAATTTTATCCATTATATATCATAATAAATTCTCTGCTTTAAATATTTTACAAATTACTTTTACATATTGTTCTATATGTACTATGTGTTTCTCTTTGAACGAGACAGTACATTTTTAAAATAGAGTTAGAATAGAGTTAAGCACCTTTGAGCTTAGTCAAGTGAGTAATTTGATTTCCACCAAATTGAAATCCCTTTACTAGTGTGAACTTATTTAGTTCGGATAGAATAATATATGTTCATGTTTCTTCGTCTGATCTCATTGACTATAATGAAAAATTATGACCGATAAAAATTTTTTATTACGATTTGTTCCAGCACTGTTTTGTGATATCCTACAGGAGGGAGAACCAACGGCAATACGAATTAAATGCAGCTACAGACTCTGACTGTAAAATATGGATCGATGCTATACGAGAAGCTAGGTAATTATTGCGTATATAATTTGCACTTGAGAATTAGTGTCATTGAGGATATAATCAAATCAGAAAAATAAATCAGATACTTAATTTATATACGACAAATATTTTATTTTAAATTAAAACGTTGGAAAATATCAAAAAATTAAATAATAATTCAGACATAGATTAACAATGTTTTTAGAATTAAATAAAAATGTGATCTTTATTTTATTATAAAGTTCTTCTTTAAGCTCTCTTAAAACTTTCTTTTATTTCTTTGTTTCCTTCTTCTTCTTCTTCTATTTTTATTTATTGTCGCATCGATTAGCGACGACGGTGCCATTAGATACGTGTAGTAGTTTATTTTTGAGAGATTTTAATATTCTTTCTATGTCATTTTGAGAAGTCAGGTTTATGTTTGCGTTGATTCCGTATTTCTGTCTTTGGGTTTCTGTGGTGTGATATTCGTGCAGTATGTGGGTTACTAGTTATTGTTAATGAATGGTTATTGCAATGAGTGCAGGTGGGTGGTGTTTTTTTAATTCTGTGTTCATGTGTCAGCTTGGTATGTGATACCGGTTCCTAGGCATGTGATAATTATTCCTTCTTTCCTGTTGTTAAAGTTTGGTGTTTGCTTGTTTTGTTCCATTTATTTTTTGCTACTTTTTTGCAATGAATTATTTGGTCGTCGCAGGGGATTGGAAGATGGTTGCGATTGTTAGTAAGTGAGGGAACTATGGCTTCTTTCGATGCTGTGTCGGCTTTTTCATTTCTTTGATCAGTTAGAATCCAGATGACTGTGGCGTTTGTGTTAGGTTGGTTGTGGTTTAGTTCTTGGATAGTGGATATTAGTTGGTTTTCTTGATCATGGGATTTTGTAGCGCTCATGGAGTCGGTATATATGACGATCTGGGCTTCGTTATTAGAGTGTGCATGTTTGATGGCTTCCAGAATAGCATAAGTTTCGGCTGTGAAGATGGATGATGAAGAAGATTTTGTGTTTTTTTAGTTTTTTCAATAATAATGGCCCCCAATTTTAGGTTTGCGGGCAATCTTTCGCTAAGTGGAAGGTGAAAATCCGGTATGATGTATTTTCAAAAGTTATTAGGAAGGTAGATGGGATTTTTCCAATGTCATCAGGGTCAATATATGCCTGTCTTCTGAAGCTGAGAATGTGGGTGTATTCCTGCTTTCAAAGTTGTTATTCTGGAGCATAGCTTGACGTTGTTTCTTTAAAAAATTTTTTCAAATTCTGAGTTGGGTATGACTGGGGCGATAGAATTACTCTTTGGGCCGGAGTTAACATTGGTCTTAAGTTTGGCATATTGTTATTGACCGTTGTTGTTTTATGCAGATTTGTTAGGTGTAGCACAGTTTCTTTTTTATCAAGATATGCGCAAATTCGATTGTTTGAAATTTTGGAGATGTACCTTATTGATTTGGGTCCGATTAGTTTCCCTGTTGCAAGAGCATAGTCTTGGAGGCTTGTGTCGTCTGTTGCGTGGATGATGATAGCTTGATCTTTTGTAGGTAGTACATTGAGTTGTGCTGCGTGGGAGTATGATTTGGTGGAGTTGTTTATTTCCGTTTGGTTAGAAAATTGGGAACCCCTGTACTCAGAGGTTCCCGCAGGTTGGAGTTGGTTAGTCGGTGTATTGATTCCGGTATTTTTTGTGTTGAGGAACGAAATTAGCGTTTGTTTTCACTAACACTGACACTATAATAATTTGTATTGGAACTCATAAGCGAGACTATATCGGACGTCCGGCTAAACCGAGACTGGTTTCTTTGTTTCCTATTTTTACCACTGTAAGTAAAATTTTGTGTTCCTTGTTTTACCATAACCTTCTGTCTGTGTCTTGCACTTTCATTTTTCTAGTTATTAATGATTTTAGTATTAAACGAATTTAAAACGAATTAGTACAACATTCTATTGAATTTTTATTTCATGAATGTAATTAATATCGTATATCTTACCTGTTGATATCTTATATTATAAAATAAAAGAGATTAGAATGCAAAAAAATTTTAAAAAAAGGAAAAATAAAATAAAAATTTGTTTAGAATGAAGAAAAAAGTTAGAATTTCGTTATTATTTTTGTTCGAATTCAATAATGTTGATGTCAAAATTATTGTGACGCCGGACGAACGTTTGTTTAGTCCCCAGAGTTGGCGTATTTTGATACAGGATGTTCTATACCTACGAGAATGTGAGCGAAGAGAGAATGAACATGCGTGAGGATATACTGATTATAAGTTATGGAACACCATCTTCGACATTCCGTGCACAAGCGATAGTGGATGCGAAGTCATAACACACCATCGATAACTAATGTTATAAAAGAGGGTAAAAGTCAGTCAGTTCAGTTTAGTTTTACTTCTACTTCAGTCCTACTTCTAATTTCAAAAGAGTTTATTAAGCGTAGTTCATTTTTAAACTTCAAAGAGACAGTTCAGTCAGGCGTCGTCAAAATCCGTAAAGTGCAGTTCTACTTCTAGCTCCGTCAGAGTTCAAGTTCAAGTTTGTTATTTCCGTATAGTATATCCGTATATCGTAGTGAGTTTTTGTTAATGTTAAGTTGTATGAATAGTCACACACACACACACACATACACACACCGTGTCACTTCATTGCCGATCATCGACATGGCCATTGCAGCATCTCATTGAGACTTGGAAATGAAAAAAAAAACGCACTAACTAGTGAGAACATCGCGGATCCCAGCTAGAATCAGACGTATGTACAGGGTGTAAAAAAAATAAATGTCGCGACTATGCTAGATCGATTCTACACCCTCGATTTGATGGAGAACAATCTAAGCAAGGTGTCGCGAAATTGACCTTGACTGGTTTTTTTGAAGATCAAATTTTTTAATGATTGCATCGAGAAGATAAAATGTGTCCAAGAAACCATGGGTCGGAAATGACTCGTTCTCCTAAAAAATGATTACATATATCCAATTACTATTAAACTCGCCATATATGTAATATGTTTGTATTTTGCAATGGAATAGGCTCTGCTATTGCACTTACTTAATTTCTTCGTCGAACATTTCTTCCACGGGTCCACAAGACAGCACTATCCTGCCGTATTATCTGTAAAAGACGTACATCTGCTTCTACAGGGTGTCCACGTTAAGTTTTGTCACCAGTTTTTAGGTATTTCCGGTAGTGCAATTAAAAAATGTTTCAAACAAAATTTTTTTTTAGTATCTAGTGGGCTACATGTTTTCATATTCTTAAATTTCAAAACATGTTTTTTACGTAAAAAAGTCAAGGTCACCTCGCCTTTTTTAAATAATAGCACCATATATTTTTAGATATTATAAGATTGTTGCTGATGTCGAGACAAAGTGTATTATACTGTGACTTTGAAATGACCTTAAACTATGATACAGAGCTCCGTTGTGTATTAGACTTTTCGACGTCGCTATAATTACACTGTCTCTAAACAGAATGGTGCTATCTTGTGGATCCGTGGAAGAAATATTCGACGAAGAAATCAAGTGCAATGGCAGAGCCTATTCCATTGCAAAATACAAACATATTACATATATGGCGAGTTTAATATTAATTGGATATATGTAATCATTTTTTAGGAGAACGAGTCATTTCCGACCCATGGTTCCTTGGACACATTTTATCTTCTCGATGAGTAGAATACGATGCAATTATAAAAAAATTTGACCTTCAAAAAAACCGGTCAAGGTCAATTTTGCGATACCTTGCTTACATTGTTCTCCATCAAATCGAGGGTGTAGAATCGATCTAGCATAGTCGCGACATTTATTTTTTTTACACCCTGATAGTTAGCACTCAGTTTCCTCGCAGCCGGGACGTGACATTATTGATAATTGTTTTATTTAATATTTATTTATATATAAGCAGACTGTGAATCTTTATATAATTTTATATTTTTATAACATAATTAAAAAAATAGCCTAAGCAGAAATTTGTGTCCTAAATATATATTATTATTAGATAAAATTTAAGGATACAAGAATACATAGAATTTACATAACACACAAAAATAAGTGTATATGTACAATATAATAAAATAACCACAATGCAATATCTGTTATAAACTAGATCATAATTTCTTCACTATTGTCAAAAACTTATAAATTTGCATTAAAATCCGCATTCTAATTATAACAAATTTAATTCTAAAAAATATTATTATAAAAATATTATAAAATATTCTATTTTCTGTTATATATTTTTGTGCATTGCGTGCATTTTCTGCATTTTCGCATCTTTAAATGCATAAAAATCCACGGTCCATCTATAAATTGTAAGTTTATGATAAATGTTCGAGTACTTTCACAAGCCACTGTACGCTTTTACGAATTAATGATTTTTCTATTTAGTAACATTTCTTGGTTCAGTATTATAATCGTATTAGTTTCGTATTACTTCCTGGAATATCATGGTTTTGCGATACTATCAAATCTACCGTTTTTAGTGTCATATGAAAAAACTAGCGGTTATCAGTCGAATTGTGGCTTGAGAGAGAGAGAGAAATAGAAAGAGAAAGAGAAAACACTCGAAAATTGAAGTTATTTGTATTTATACATAAAGTATACATACATAAATTAATTTAATTTCAAATGAATTGAAAATAAAAGTGTTATTTGATTGGATCGAAATTCATCTGTCATTACGGGTTTTGCTCGAAATTTCAAAAAAATTATATCAAAAATGGTGATTATATTTAAATTTATACACACGATCAAGGTAATTAATAATTTTATTCTTCTAATATTGCACTGCGGATTTTGACGCATTTTCAAATTTTAATGAACCAAAATTGAAATTTTACATTTAATATTTTATGTATTTTTGCATTTCCAATAAATACATAAAAATCGATAATCTAGATGTAATTTTTTGCTCGAGATATTTCATACAGAGAGAAAAATATTTGAAAAGTGTATTAATTCGAAATGATTGAAAAGAAATAGAAATGAAATAAAATACAATATTGAAAACGCATTGGAACTGATGAAATATTATGTATATAT